TTCTTAATGATTCCCAACATTCTGTTTGCTTTTTTGACTGCCGCTGCACATTGAGTGACCGTTTTCAGAGAACTATCCACAATGACTCTGTCCTGATTAAACACAGAAATCTCCGATAACTATGCTGTAAATCATTGAATTTGTAGGTGCATCTTCAACTATCAGAAGCTTTGAGGAGCCCTATAACAAAAAATAGTTAAAGAACTGTGTGCTAAGAATTTTATGCTAATCGGAGGGACACAGCCCTGACTTACTTTGGATGCTCACCTGTTCCTGCTTACACAAGAGATTCTCTTTTTCAAGAGTTTTCTAATATTTTGAAGTGCAGCTGTCCTGACTGTTTAAAATGTCATTACCTTAATTCAGCACATCTGCACCATGTGTGTATTCAATGTCTTAACTTCTTACATTAGTGACAAAAATAAGCTTCTGCTACATTTTACTTCTGTTAACTCAAGTGTGCTTCATTATTTAATAAAGTCCAGAAATTCAAGTGCAGTTGATAAAGTTGGGTCTATATAAAAAGGAGCTGATGCTTTCACATCCGCTGGATTTTTTTCTTTTTACTGTCTATTTAGGTTTCCATCTAACTGGACATTACAAGTCACCTCAAAGTGTGCTGTCTGCACAAGAGTCGGGCTGGAGGCATGAAATATAAATTAACAATATTATGTAATACTAAAAGCTGTGATGGAACATATCCCAGTGTAAATGTTACACAGCAAAAGGGAGGGAGAAGTTATCAATGAACTTATAATTAATTAGGTACCTAGACAAAATGGTTTGTAAAAAATATTAGTGGCCGGTTGGAATCCAGGCATGACACCAATTAACATGCACAATATTAGACACACTGTTTCCATCAAAATTCTAATATAGAGGGAAACAATGAGTTCAAAATATGCACAAGCAAATAAGGAAAGTAAGAGAGTCCTTAAATATAATTTTTTCATGTGCCCTGGAATGTGTCTCCATTATTTCCATATTCTCCTTTACAGGCAATTGGGGCTAGACTTGGTTCCAAGAAAAGAATATGCTATGGTGGATCCTGACGAGATCAGTATTACAGAACTCTATAGGCTGGTAAGTAGATTCTTTCCCGGGGCACCCAGGGTTGAGAGCCCTTGCTACCTCTTACCCTTAGCATGAGGAAGCCTTGTCTGTGCCTGCTGGGGTCAGCTTCCCAAATCCACTGGACATGGGCAACACAAGGACTCCCCTCTAGGCCTATGCAGGCCCTGCTGTCACTCCACAGGTTAGCAATTGGCACACTCCAGCGCTTGAGCCCTCCAAGTGTGTACCTGGAGCATCCTGCCCCTGGTCTGTTGGACACTTGCAGTATTTACAGATTCACTGCTTCCAAAGAAGCAGTATGTGCCAGCTTACCAGTTCCACTTCAGATCACTGCCCTGTTATAAACATATCAAAGCACTTAGATATGTTTATAGTGAAATAAAGTATAAGTTTATTTACCAAAACTAGAGATTCAAGTAGTAGCAAATAGAAATATTGGAAACAAATGGTTACATAATAAATAAAATCATAACCTGCATTCTAGACTTGAGACTTAATTAACAAGATAAGACCTCTTGTGCAGGGGTCAGCAATGTGTCCGTATACAGATACAAGTGTTCACGGTAAAAATTTTGAGATCCGTGGAGGGCGCTCATGGGCGGGTCCCCGCAAGCAGGTCCCCGTCCCTGCTGTTGCTGACGGAGGGATGGCCAGGCGGCTCTGCACGCTGCCTACGTTCCCCCTCCCCGAGTGCTGACTCCGTGGCTCCTGCCCATTGGCTAGGAACCGTGGCTAATGGGAGCTGCGGGGGCAGCACATGCGGATGGGGCAGTGCGCAGAGCTGCCTGGCCGTGCCTCTACGTAGGAGCCGGAGGGGGGACATGGCGTTGCTTCTGGGAGCTGCTTGAGGTAAGCGCTCCATGGAGCCTGCATAACCACCACCACCCTGCCCCAGCCCTGATTCCACTCCCACCCTCTGAACGCCTTGGTCCCAACCTGGAGCACCCTCCTACGCCCCAAATCCCTCAGCCCCACCCCAGAGCCTGCACCCCCAGCTGGAGCCCTCATCCCTCTCCCCACCCCAACACCCTGCCCCAGCCTGGAGCTCCTTCCGGCACTCCAAACCTTCAGTCCCAGCCCAGAGCCGCCTCCTGTACCCCAAATCCCTCATCCACGGACCCACATGAGAGCCTGCACCCCCAGCTGAAGCCCTCTCACCCTCACACACACATCCCACCCCCCTGCTCCAGCCCAGAGCCCTCTCCCGCACCTTGAACCCCTCATTTCTGGCCCCTCCCCAGAACCTGCACCCCCAGCCCAGAGCCTGTACCCCCTCCCACACCCAACCCCCCTGCCTCAGCACAGAGCCTTCCCACTGCCCCTCCAATGTCCATCACTAAGTCCAGTAATTTTGTCAAGTGTCCGTCACACAACATGGTGGTGCTGACCCTTGCTCTTGTGTCTTGTAGAGTAATGCTCACCCAAAATCCTTGCAGTGCTTTATAGCCTGGCTGGCCGTGACCCTGTTTTCATGAGTAAACACTCTTGTCAGTTTGTCTCCTCCAAGGACTCTGTGTGTCCCCTTGCACTCCAAGAAAAAACACATTCCTTTGTTTTTATTCATAAACCGGATACCCCATCCCTTGCTGTTGGTTTATTCCTGTAAATTTTGTCTCTTGTAGATTTCGCAATCTCTCAGCCCACCCTGGCTCCGTATGCAGTATGCATTGTGAGGCATATAATACACAAAAGTCCAGACAGGGAGATAGTTGTCCGTTACCTCCTGTCTGAAAGGAACATTTCCAAGGTGTGTCACTTCCTGGTGACTACCTTAATTCCAGGACCTTAAGAACATAATTTTTAGTATAGATACATAACTCCTTAAATATTATCTGTATATACATTTCACAATGATCATGATGACCAGTGGGCTATTGGCACTCAGTAGAGATTTCACATTCCACCCTTTGGTGAACTGTTATGTAGATATCACTCCCAGAGGATCTCTCTCAAACCCTATGCACCCCCTGTGTCCTATGACAGTTCAAAATTTAAAAAAAAATTCTAATGTCTGGGTCAGTATATTTCTATTGATAACATATTGGAATTTGTCTTGATATCAGAAATTTCTTTGGGGCTATTTTGATGCATCTGTAGCTCTGAAAGATACTTTCATTTGAGTTAAACTTTCCACTGACAATATATGTATGTGTGTGCGCGTGCTCCGCATGTTATGTGGATTTGATATATCATCAGTGAAACCATTACAGTTCTGGAATGGTTCCATAAAAGCTTAATCATGAGTAAAAGCATATGAGATGCTTTCTTTAATACTGTAACTGGGCCCTTAGTTGCATTAGGCTATGCAAAGATTAATGGAATTGTAATAATATATCCATTGTATGAGTATTGTCACTCTTAATCATATTGGTTGTGGGGTCTCTTCAGCTAATATAATAACATGGATGTCAATAAAGCTGTATGAGACAACTCTCCTTTTGGCTTCTCTGTACACAGAATGATCCATTTTATTTTATGGGAAATTATAATTATTTTTTAAGGGGCCTGATCCATACAAACTCCATTGAAGTGAATGGAAAGACTCCAATTGACTTCAGTAGGATTTGGATATGACCTATGGTAATGTTAAATTGCTACAGTAATATAGAACTTATCTGCTTAAGTTTAAAAACTTTTTTTAAACTAAGTTTTACTCTTGTTAACACAAATGTATTTGAATAATTAACATGGCCCATAGAATAAAGCACAGATGAGAAGATTGGGCCCATATAAATGTGAGCTGACATATTTACATTTGCTAATATTATTTTTTTACTATATATTCTGATCATCATTTGACTTGACATTACAGATCACCTGTTTCATTGTGGTGTCAGTTAAGTATTTGGGTTATGTGTTGAAAACACTGGGTTAGTCTTTCTCAAAGTTCAAAACTGTACGTAGTATTACAGATTACATATTTGGACACTTAATATGAAATATTTTTCTAATTATGTGGAAAGGAAATTAATCAAGTGAAGAAAAATGAAAAATACAATTAAGTGGAAAAACGCTGACTACTTCATAAGATTAGCTAAATTAGATAAGAAGAATAAAAGAAATAAAATTAGATATCGCTAACGTGGGCAACCTTACTAAAATTAGTGAGCAGCTAAGCAATGTAAATTTTAAAAATAAAAAAGGAGAAAAGCAAAAGATGTTAGCTTACATTGAGGATTAAGTACTTTGGAAGTGTCACATTTTGATTTAAAAAAAACGTAATTTTAAATGCTAAGATACAGAAATAGTACTATTTGATTTTTTTTTTTTTGATCCCGGGTTCCATTAAAATGGTCAAACTATAAACTGATAAATGAGGTTATTAAGGGAAAAAGCAACTGACCTACAGAGCAGTCTGGCACAGATTATACTATGTGGAAGTGAACTTTTCGGTTTTAGAATAATAACTACAAAGCAACTGTATAGTTTATTTTAAAGCTTTTTCAGGAGCAATTCTTTAAACCAGATTTTAAATAAAGCGTGGGTACATACCTGCCTAAGGTGGTTTTGGGTTCTGGTGGTTAGAAGAAGGAGCTGGAAGGTTGGGGTTAATGGATTCTAACAGTCCCAATTGAGCCAATGGGTAACCCTGATTAAGTCATGCCAGCAACTTATTCCTCTTATCTGGGAAATAGATGAAAATCAGTTGGCTCATTGCAGAACAGGTGCTACATCTAAAATGAGGGGTTTGGGATTAAGAAATTACCCCCACATTTAGAATTTTTAACTAGTGCTATGTTTAATGTATTAAGCTTTTTTATAAATATTTGAACGTGCTGATAGATGTGGTTGTTGTTGATACTAATATGTAGATGGAGCATCGTCATCGAAAGAAAGACACTCCTATCCCAGCAAGCAACCATCATCTTTTTGTGCAGATGAAGAGTCTGATGTGCTCCAATCTGGGAGAGGAATTGGAAGTCATCTTCTCACTGTTTGATAGTAAAGAGAATCGACCAATCAGGTAATAACATCAATTTTCATGTAAATTTTTCAAAACCACAGTTTAGAAGGACTTAGATTAGTGTGTTCCATGCATCTTACATGATGGAGCTAGTGATACGTTTAGGACTTGTCTACACAGTGTGGTAATGCTGACTATGGGAGTATGATTTCTAAAGTTCTCTGATGCATTACACCATAGGTGCCGACTCCGTGGGTGCTCCACCTCCGGAGCACCCACGGAGAAAAATCAGTGGGTGCTGAGCACCCACCAGCAGTTCCCCGTGGCCCCGCCCCCTCACCCTGCTCCAGCTCGCCTCCACCTCCTCTGCGAGCGCGCCGCCGCGTCCTACTTGTTTCCCCTCCCTCCCAGCGCGGGGTAAAGAGGAGGGGGAATGCGGCATGCTGGGGGAAGAGGCAGGGATTTGGGGAAGGGATCCAATAGGGACAGGGACGGGGCGGAGTTTGGCGGGGACTTTGGGGAAGGGGTTGGAAGGGGAGGCGCGAGCTCCCACCGGTGCCAGAGAAAGTTGGCGCCTATGCGTTCCACATTAATTGGTCCATATACACCTTGCTGATGTGCACTAAAGGTTCCCTAGTTCAAGGGTTCCCAACCTTTTTCTTTCTGAGGCCCCCTCTCCCCCACCATGCTATAAAAACTCGGCCCACGTGTGTCACAATAATTGGATTTTTGCATATAAAAGCCAGGGCCAGCATTAGGGGGTAACCAGCAGGGCAACTGCCTGGGGCCCCATGCCACAGTGGCCCCCGCAAAGCTACATTACTAAAGCTTTAGCTTCAGTCCCAGGTGGCAGAGCTAAGGGCCCTGGGCTTCAGCCCCATGTGGTGGGGCTTCGGCTTTCTGCCCTGGGTCCCAATAAGTCTAATGCTGGCCCTGCTTGGTGGACGTTATGACGTTGCACTCTATATGATTTTATAAAAATATGCTAATTAATGAGTGAATATAATGTAACTGGAATATGCTTCATGCAAAAGGTCTCTTGTAAGGTATCATTACAAAGTTTATAATCTACTGAGTGTGGTCATTGTATTTGTATAAATGTATCACTCTTGTATCTGAAACTAGAAATATGAAATATAACTCTGAGGGCCTACTGTAATTATGCAAAGTGTGAGCCATTAATTAGTGGTTTGGAATCTTGATGGCTCCCATCAACCAGGACAATTGACTCTGGATGGCTCTGTTTGCAGGCAAGTCTTCCTGTGAGTCAGACTGGGAGGAATGAAGGCTTAGGGTCTTACAGTGACATGTGATCATGTCACCTGAACTGGAATCCATCTTTAACCTAGTGTTTTTCCATTGGGTGGGAACCCAGAGGAACAAAGGATTCCTGCCTTATGCAAAAGATATGTAAATGGGTGGAAGAAAAGAAAGAGGGGTCCCTCATGAGGAATCCCCTAGCTACCACCTGAGCTGGAACAAGAGCTGGAAGTTGTCCAGTCTGAGGAAAAAACTTACTGAAGCATCTCTAAAGGTGAGATTATCTGTATTCAGTTTGATTAGACATAGATTTGCATGTTTTATTTTATTTTGCTTGGTGACTTACTTTGTTCTGTCCGTCACTACTTGGAACCACTTAAATCCTACTTTCCGTATTTAATAAAATCACTTTTTACTTATTAATTAACCCAGAGTATGTGTTAATACCTGGGTGGGCAAACAGCTGTGCATATCTCTCTATCCGTGTTATAGAGGGTGAACAGTTTGAGTTTACCCTGCATAAGCTTTATACAGGATAAAATGGATTTATTTGGGTTTAGACCCCATTGGGAATTGGGCATCTGAGTGTTAAAGACAAGAACACTTTTGTAAGCTGCTTTCAGGTAAGCCTGCAGCTGTTTGGGGATGTGATTCAGACCTGGGTCTGCGTTTGCAGCAGGTTAGCGAGTCTGGCTCAAACCAGGCAGGGCACTGAAGTCCTAAGCTGACGGGGCAGGAAAGCAGGGGCAGAAGTAGTCTTGTCACATCAGGTGGCAGCTTCCAAGGGGGGTTCTGTGATCCAACATGTCACGCCTGTGAAACTTGCTCGCGGCACCCCCCAGCGGGCCCCAGATCTCTGGTTGAGAACCACTGCCCTAGTTGATTCTCGGACTAATTAATGCACAACATGTTAGTGCTGTTTAGAAATCACAGCCCTGTAGTGCGCAGCACCCCACTGTGTAGACAAGCCCTTAGTTATACTTTCAGAAACAGGTATAGGATAGCCTTGGTGATTAGAGGAGCATTAGTAACCTCTGTAATACCATCGTAGTTTCAAATTAATATTTCTTTTATCCACCAAGGTCTTCACTTTTTTCAAATATTATTTTGTTTTTGTGTGAGAGGATGGAGGTGTGTGCCCCCACGTGCACGTTTGCACATATAGTGAGTATTTACTTTGTAACGTGGAGGTCATTTTTTAGCTGCTCCTTCTCTTCCAACATTCAGGTTGCATCCGTATTTTGCTGCCGCTTCCTCCATAATGTTTCTAAGATCCATTTGCTTTATGTTCAGACAGCCTAAATTCTGTCCAGGCCCTTATCTCCTGTTTTGATTACTGTAACCTGCTGGGGACTCCTTAATAGCCATGCCATCCCTTTCCAGTTCATACAAAATACAGCTTCTAAAGTCATCCTTCTTGCTCATCACTGTGACCCTTCCACTTGCAAAACTGACTTCTATGGTTTTGAGGGGCTCATATATTTTAATTCCCTATGTTTTGTTTTTTAGTCACCTTTTGAATCTGGATCGTGAGTTGCACCAATACTGGTAGTGCTGGGCCCCAGAAGACAGCAAGTTTGTGCTGTATGTTTCTCAGAAGGACACGAGAGAAGGGGAAGGGGTGGAACAACACTATTGTGTTGTGGGCAAGATGGGGAGGAGCAAGAGATGGGGGTAGAGCCATGAAAGTGTTGTACAGTGCTCCCCCCTCCTCTGCACTCTTCTGGACAGGAGAGAAGATAATGGGGGGGATAGGATCATGCTGTATTTTGTCCACACTCAACATATGTGAGCATAGGGAGGGGAGCCCAGTGGGGAAGAGTCTCAAGGGTCTGGTCTGATAGGAAGTGTGTCGAGGACTTTTGGGATGTGAATCATGAAATGCTTCCTGCTCTCCTGGGTACAGACGGAGTGTAGGATGGAAGTGGGAAATGTCTTTCTGCAGAGAAGGAATTTTGAGACCAGACCTCAGGGTAGACAAATCTTAGGTAAGATGGCACAAGACCTCACAAAGAGTTAAATAAGTCACTGGTATGGGATCATTAATAGGATGTTAGTAGTGTGAATGCAAATTGTGTTATATGATATCTGTGAGAATCTTTTCATTCATGGCCGAGGGAATGTTTTGGATCAAGTGGAAATCATTACAGAATTTGACAAAATGACATCTGACTATTTTTGGTAGAAAAAGGGCAAGGAGATGTCTGCCCGCTATTTTGGAGGAAAACCACCCAGAATAAATTGATTCTTGTTGCTAGTGAAATCGCACAAACATCTGTTACTAGGATCAAAACTGCTAGGTACTATTATGTAATCCTAGACGGCATATCTGATATTAGTCACCTAAAACAGTTCACTGTCGTATTGAGAATTGTGGCCATCTGTGAGCAGGAGGCATCAAGGAATATTTTCTGGAATTAATTCCAGTAAATGGCAGAAAAGGTGAACGGTTAATTGAGAGAGAGCTTCAGAACTTGAAGGAGCATAATTTGGACATTTAGGACTGCTGAAGGCAAGGGTATGGCAGTAGTAGTATGAAAAGCAAGAAACTGAAATGCTTTTGTGTGAGCATGCACAGCTTCTAGGATTATCTGCAACCCATGTGCCTGCCATGATCTGAACCAGGTTGTTATTGACAGTCCATTCCTCAGAAATTGTGAAGTTGCTCTATAGCAGTGGTCCCCAACCTTTTTCATGGGGCAGGCGCCGGATGACTAGCCGCTGAGGATCATGGCTGCCGGACAAGCAGCCGCCGAAATGCTGCCATGAAGCGGCGACGTCAAGAGGCGTCGCCGCCAAAATGCTGCCATGAAGCAGCAGCATCAAGAGGTGTCGCCGCCAAAATGCTGCCGAAATTCGGCGGCATTTTGGCGGTAGCGCTTCTTGACGTTCTCGCTTCTCAGCGGCATTTCGGCGGCTGCTTTTCCAGCGGCCAGTAGGCGGGTGCATATGGATGCCCCAGCAGGCACCATGGCGCCTGTGGGCACCGCGTTGGGGACCCCTGCTCTATAGCTATTTAGAGTAGCTTTACAATCTCGGTGCTTTCTCATCACCTCACTGGCAAATCTTAAAGCATGTTGCCATGACTCCAAAATAGCTTCCCGGAGCATGGTGGGAAAGCAGGATGAACTCTGTGAAAGCAGTTTCCTATGCACTGAAGCATTTTTTGAGATGCACTACTAAAGAATGCTGAAAATATTGAAACCAGTAGAGCATGAACTCCTTGTAGATGTTGCCAAACTGGTAAATGAAATATCAGTCCTACACAATGTTCCCTCTAATTTTTTTTCCATCCATGTGCAGAATGAATTTTGTTATGTGCACCAATATTGAGTTAATGTGTGGATGTGCGCCACTAGTAGAAACAAAAAACCTAGATATAGTATATACTTTTAAAAAGTTATCATAGGGATAATTACTTCAGCCAGGACAGGTTAGGCATTTTAGAATTCACTACTCCAAGAATTAAATTTAAGTACAAGAGAGAAATAAAAATTATGAAATGCATAGACCAGTCAAAAACTAAAATAACACACTTTGAAAGAATAAAATTACAGAGAATATATGTGAATTGCAGGAAGTACCAAGAAGTAACAACAACAACAATAATAGAAGTATGTGTTGGGAGGTGAGTGTGAAAGTGTGTGTGTGTGTGTAAGAGAGACACACACAGACTGTGTGTGTGAGAGAGAGAGACTGTGTGTGTGTGTGTGTGTGTGTGTGTGTGTGTGAGAGAGAGAGTGTGTGTGTGCTTTAGCTGCTGGGGAAGTCTATGGGAGACTGTACACTGTCTCTTTAAG